AACAGATCAACATGAATTGCCATTTTTTTATTTATTCCCATCTCTAGTGATTATTCAAAATGAATTGCCATTTTTTTATTTATCTCCATCTCTAGTGATGATGTAAGACCTAGAAAATGAACCCAGGTGTGCTGATGCATTCTTTCCAGTAGCCTTGTTCAAATGATCTATGTGAAAGTTCATTGAGGAGTGAATCACTGAAGGAACCCAGATGGTTGGCCTCACTACACCTGGAGTCTGAATTATCTCTCCATTCTATACCATAATAAGGAATACAAAAGGGAAAAAGGAACAGTTTGCTAAATTTCATAGGTTTCGTTTGGGTATGCTAGAGCACAGGAAAGGAGCAAACAAAGGGACTTATTTGCAGTCCAAAACTCCTGAGTAACCCAAGGTTAAGAACCAGTGTGCTAGAGCACAGGAAAGGAGCAAGCAAAGGGACTTACTAAATTTTAACATTCCCCTCATTCTGGCATTGCAGCTGCTCCAAGGTTATAGCATTAATGGATGTGGCAGATTGTATGTATTTCAGATTGCCCCCTAAATATAATCATTTTGGTTCTGAATTTTAAAGTCACAGGAATACAGCATTGAATAACGCTTTTGCTAGAGCTGGGTATATTATTTAATATGTACTGTTATTCATTATTTAATCCATTCATTATATTTAACTCCACCTCTCCACTAAAAATACCACTCAGGGAAGGTTACAGACTGAAATCTCTCACTCTGTGCTCTATATAAATTGTCAGCTGCTCTTGAACACACCAGTGCAACTCAACTTTGGACAGCCAGCCACTTGATCTACAGACATTAGCCAGTGATCTTTTTTTTCAAACATGTGTAAAGCAATACATTCTGATTCCTGCAATTAAGCTTTGTTGGAAAATATAACAGCAGGATAGGCTAATTTTACTGGTAAGTTGGAACCTCTGCCCATACAATTCAGAACATCACTTTGCCATGTCCAGCATAGATGTTAATATGAAGGTTCCACCAAGCAAAATGGTGAACAGAAGTAGGATGGATTCCTTTTACAAACATTGCACTGGTGTACTCTCTGTGCACATAAAGAGGGAAACAAGATTGCATTCAATTGTTCCACGTGTACCTGTGGCACAGCTTGTGAAAGAGCATGTATACTATAAGTATAGATTCCATTCATAGAATCATAGAATAATGGAGTTGGAATGGGCCTATAAAGCCATTAAATACAACCCACTGCTCAATGCAGGAATCCAAATCAAAGCAGATATAACAGATGGTTGTCCAATTTTCCTTTGAATGCCTCCAGCATTATCTCCCAATATAAATGATTCTATTGTTGTACTGCTCTAATAGTTAAGATGTTTTCTCCTGATATTTAGCCTTAAATATGGCTTCCTCTAGTTTGAGCTCATCATTACATGTCCTGTTCATTCATCTGCAGACCTTATTTCTGCCAGGGACCCTACTCATGCACCCAGAGCCTATGTGCATACCATGTTATGCAGCCCATTTTTCATGTGTGATCTATGATTTGCTAAAAATTTCTAGTTTGATACCTTCTTTCATACAGTTGCTGATGATTTTACTGTACAAAACAGAATCTTTTTTTAATTTCTCTCATCCTTTTTTTCTGAAATGTGAGACAGGTTTTGCAAGAGAAAAGTGGTATATAAATAATTCCATAAACCAGCACTGAACAGTGTTACAAGTGGTGCTGAACATGTCAACATAGAAAGAGGCCAATAAGCGACAACAAAGTGAAGTCCTTCTCAAGTTGAACATTGGAGGGGGGGGGAGACATATTTACATAGTGTGTGCATTTAAAAATATATACACATAGATGCAAACTGAGAAGTAGTTATTACAGTTTTAATTGTACAGTACTTTGTTTTTAGTCCAGTATTTTGTCAATGTATGTATTTGTACTTTTAAGTTTGTTAGTATTATGTTTTTAAGGTATACATGTTTCTATTTGTATTTATGTTTTTAATTGTAATGCTAGTTGTACTTAATGACCAAAGCAGTTAAATCAAAAACAAAGATTCTTCTTCTTATGTTGCTACTACTGCTACTAGTAGTAGCAGTATAGTTTTGACAGAAATTCAGTATATCTCTATGCATTTCGATCACCATGAGCAGGTATCCAAGTGCTAATCCCTTCTTATGATTTCTTATTTGGACAACATTTCAAGTATATCAGGACTAGGGAACCTGTTGCCCCCCACCCACTGAGCTTAGTGGCTGTAATCCAGGTCTAGCTAAATTTGCCCATGGAGACGGGATATGGGAGAAGAGGTCCATAAACATCTGAAGGGCTACTGGAACAGAGAATTGTCTTCTGATAGCCCTTCAAATAGAGGACTGTTCTATCTAAAATGGGAAAGGTTCCACTCCTCCCTCTTGCATGCAATCACTGAATACACATATATGAAATAGATATACACCCCCATTGTATTGCACTTTTAGTGAGAGTTGTGCGTGGATGGATTCAAAATAAACAAATGATCGCAAAGCAGCACATATACCACACCATGTCTTCTGTGCTATGGATAAGCTTGCTCCTTGTTCTTTTATTTGTAATGCTTTATTTTGAAACAGGGTTGGGCAGTTTGGAAGATCTTGGGACCAAATAGGCCTCTCCAGAACCTGGCGTGGGTCTCAACACCCCTTCTTGACAAAACTGGAAGTGGCTCAGAATCCCACTTAAACAAATGACAATTTTTGTCACTTAAAAAGCACCAATGGAAAAAAAAACTGATTTTATGGTAGATCATACTTGCAGGAGGCTTCTGATTTCCATCTTTTATGTTAAAAACAATTTCCAAGGTTGCAGGAACTCCATGCTCCTCACTCCTGCTCTAGAAGATTGATGCTAATGATAGCTCAGAAATAATCCAGAGAACCAAATATGGACTATATTCCATATAGAAGCTCTGTTTTGACCCATCAGATTGATGAGTTGACCTTCTACCTTAGTATTTTATTATAGATGACATGGTCCCATATGCTTCTTCTCCATTGCTAGACAAATTAGTCCCTTTTGGTGCTGTGTTGTTGTTGTTTCAAGTACATGAAACATTTTTCTAGGTTCCCAAAACAGATAGACAGACAGGTGTGCACGCGCGCACACACACACATTTTATGTTCAGTCTCTATTAGGATTAGGAAAAGTGATTGAAGGTCTACATTGTTTTGGCTTCTCCACAGCAACCATTCAGGACTATGAAAGCTCACATGTGCATGTTGATTCATTACTCAGTTACAATTACAACATGGTGTCAACAGCTTTGGTAACATCTAACCTTGCATCAAGTCTTTTTTGGAGGGAATTGGCATAAGGGATGATATACTGAATCAGCTCTGAATCTGTCTGAAAGTATATAAGAGGAAAGGGGGGAGATTTGTAATTTCTCTATCTTCCCATCCATCATATATTTATTTGTCTATGTATACTTTTGCCTCACCACTTCAAAAAGGTTACTAGTCAAAATATTATTGTGTCACTCCACTTGCACAACTGGAATGACAGCTGCCACAGCAGATTGCCACTGATTAAAGACTCCCCTTCTCAGTTCCAGGCACAGCTCATAGACAGTGAGACAAAGTCTCATGGACCCTGAAATTTTAAAAAAGAAGTTTTTAGTCAGTGGCAATGTGCACCTGAAAACTACATAATTCCCACTGAGCAGGTAGAATATACCCCACAGGATTTTGGCCACTGAGCTGGAATATTAGGCGGGCATGTGTAATGCAATAAATTAGGATTATATTTAGTATTTTTTAATGCTAGATTTCCATGTGGAATTTTGGAGGAATGTGAGCTTTCACATAAGCTATGTGGTCTGTCATTTTTCAGTAAGGTCTTTGACTGGACATGTGCATGCTAATCACATGATGTGTGCAGTACCATAATGAATGAATTATCCAGTATTGGGTGACATGCACCAATTGATTGTAACAGCACCCAAGGCCTTTACACACACACACACACACACACAGAGAGAGAGAGAGAGAGAGAGAGAGAGAGAGAGAGAGAGAGAGAGAGAGAGAGAGAGAGAGAGAGAGAGAGAGAGAGAGAGAGAGAGAGAGAGAGAGAGAGAGAGAGAGAGAGAGAGAGAGAGATTTCCAAGATATTTATTTTTAAAAAAATAGTGGTGTTGTTTTCTGCCAACATTTGATGCCAAACCATCATATCAGCTGCTTATTTTAATTAGGCAGCACATTTAGTCTTGATTGAAAGTGGAAGTTAAGTGTGGATTGAAAGACAAAATCTTTAACTCTCTTTAATTGCAAACCTCTCCCCTACTGGTAGTTTTCCTTTGTTATTTAAATAGCCTTAGCCATTTGAAAGAGAGTTACAAGCCATTTGTTGTTCAAACAGTGAATTGCTATTAAGTAAATCTGAAGTCTATGATTCCAAAGCTGATTTAAAATTATTCTGTGACTGATTAATAATGAATTAAATGCATTTGTTAGTTAATAAATAGTTATTTAAATTATGCACACACCGCGAGAGAACTCTTCCTTTTCAACTTGGACCAGTGGTTCCCAACTTTGGTTCCCCAATTATTCTTGGACTAAAACTTCCAGAAGCTTTCACCACTAGCTGTGGTGGCCAGGATTTCTGGGAGTTCTAGCCCAAGAATATCTGGGGACCCAAGGTTGCAAACCGCAGCCTAAGACCACGACCTCTTTGGATACATGGCCGTCAAGCAATTGGCCACCTGGAAAAGCAGCTCATCAACCCGTGAAATTTGCCCATCTACTATATAACAAAAAACTACCGTAAATGCTTCATGTATGTCCACACTGGCATATAGTTTGACATATAGATTGCTACTGGTATGGTTTGCTTCATACTAAATAATGGCATTCCCATGTGTTTCTACTTAGATTGATTCATCCTAGCCTTTGAGAACTGTTGTGCATCTTTTTGGCACAGCAGTAGGACATATATTCTCTTGGGTACAATTCAGTACAATCCTAATTAGCTCGTTGTGTATCCTGTCCAGATGGTTAACCTGCACCCAAATGGAACTGTAGGTGCTGTTTAACCGAGGAAACAACTTTGTGACATATTAGGTGAGTTGTGACATTAAAAGGGAGGGGTGAGAAACCCCCCTCCTCTATTTTTGTCTTTTTCTTTAAAAAAAAAATCCCTAATTGACACAGCGGAATTCTAATAGCATGCCAGGTTGATGAAGTGCCATTTAGAAATGCCACTTACTTTATTTTAAAAGAGGGAGGGAAAGAGGAAAGCCACAGCAGCCAGCTGAAAAAGCTGTGAGAAAACACAGGGAAGCAGGGCTTTGTTGACTCCATGGGTTCCAACCCTATGGGGCAGGGCAGCCCCAGCAGAATCCCAGCTGAGGAGAAAGGCGGGAAAAGGGGAGTTACCTCCCATTCATCTCCCCAACCTTCACTTCAAAGTTTTCCCCTCATGCTTCAGCTGTCCTCAGCTGCTGTTGCTGTTGCCTCCTTACCTGATTTTTTAAAGGGAAATATTCTGACCTAGGACTACCAGAAGACTGCAGTTAGCATATTGCACTGATTGGATAAGATGAGGGAAATATCCATATATTTCCTTAAGGGAGACTTTTTGTCTCCCTCAAAAAGCTTGCATGCACTGTTACCTTAAAGAGATAAGCTGATCTCATTTTGCAAATTCAACATCCCAGCAGAGAGCAAGTAATTTCATTACATATATTTACATGATACAGAGCAGATCCCCAGCTGTGTGTAAGAGAAGAAGAAAAAAACACTTCATTACATGCCTTGACTGGTAACCATTCTCCCTCTCCTTTATTGCAGATACAACCAGATCTATAAAGGAATATAACACCAGTTTAGCTTTCATCTAGTGGGCAAAGACAAACTGCAGACCAGTATCTACAAAAACACCATTCCTGGTGAGTAATTTGGCACACATTTCCTTTTAAATTCAAACTGCATTCTTTTTACTATTCTTGCCTTTGTGGAAAAGTGACAATTTTTTAAAACAAAGTACCTGGTCTTCAAGAAAAGGTTCTGGATTGCTGTGACTACAGGCTTGTTTTACAGTTAATTGTTTCTTGCACATTCTCATGCAGAAGCCTAGCCTTGAACTTTTCACAGTAGCATGGAGAAATGGATTTTGAACAGATCTGATTTATACCATGCAAACCTATACAGAAATAGCACAAAGTCTTACCAGGTTTCACATTTCAGAACAATGAACACAGCCAATTATCATGAACAATGGGTGGTGGTGCAATTATTAAATTTAAATGATTACATAAGACTGTTACGATCCTGCCATTTTTTGTTCATCAATCGTATGTTTATAAAATGGACAATTCTTTTTTCTTTTAGTCATTTCTAGTATCTGCCATAATGATTACCTCTATGAGAATGACCTTTGAAGTATCTCTGATGTCTATGAGCTCAATCACAGTGTATAATCACAAATTAAACCAGACACTAATCACTTGCCCTAGCCATTTATCACACATATCACATCATCCTTTCTTCCCCAGATTAGCATTGTATTCCATAGTCCTTTCAAGCTGTGCCCTGTCTGTGACCTTCTTAGCAGTCACTGTGGGTGAGAAAGCCGAACAACATTAAAAAGAAAGATAATTTTCGAGATGAGTATAAATAAGAAAGCAAATGAACAGTTCACAAGCTGCATTCTGTCGGAAAAGACACGTGGCTTCAGTTAATGGATGTTGTATGCCATCAATTGAAAAAAGAGTAGTCCTTTTAATTAAGTCAAGAAAAGGTTAAGCACAAGGGCAGGGATTGGTAATTTTTCCCTTTGATGGGTCTTTGAGGTCTTTGATCATGGGGGGAGGAGAGACTTCCAATAGAATAACAGATTATTTAGAGCAATAGTAAAACTATAATTTTCTCTTCAGAGACCTAGGAGATGTCATAAGTCATAAGAGCATAACTTTAGAAAAGAGACTCACTAAGCACTGTGGCACTAATCCTGTTGACCTCAAAGTCAAACAGAGCTATTTATAATGTTGTACGCTATCTTTGACTTCAGCGAAAGGTGTTGAACTCCAAATGGCCCCTAAATTCAGCTAGGGTATCTGGGTTACTCTTCAGTGTTTCCTCCTTCTTCTGGAAAATATTGGCCAGAATGTTATTGTTCGCTTTTCCCAGTCTAAGTGGAATGGTACAAATTGATGCAGCAAATTGGCACTAGCTAATTTGTTGCCCCTTATTTTCCTTATTGCGTATCAATGCATGAGTAGCTGTTTGAGGGATGCGAACAGCACCTCTATAACTAGTAGCAATTCATCAGAATCATAAAATAATAAAATCATTGAGTTGGAAGGGGCTTATGTGGCCATAGAGTCCAACACCGTGCTCAAGGCAGGAATCCAAATCAGAGAAGGCAGATGGTTGTCCAATTTTCTCTTGAGTGCCTCCAGCACTGGAGCACTCACCACTTCCTGAGGTAATTGGTTCCATTATTGTATTGCTCTAACAGTTCAGACATTTTTCGTGATATTCAGCCTAAATCTGGCTTCCTATAGCTTGAGCCTATTATAGTATGTCCTGCACTCTTGGATGTTCAAGAACAGATACTGCCCCTCCTCTTTCTGACTACAGTATCTTTCAAGTATTTGAAGAGTGCTACTGTATCTCCCCTCAGTCTTCTTTTCTCAAGGCTAAACATGCCCTGTTCTTTCAGTTCTTCCTCATAGAGCTTGGTTTCCAGTCCCCTGATCATCCTTGTTGCTCTCCTCAGAACTTGCTCCAGTTTGGTGACATCTGTCATGCACAATGAAGTATGGCCTTGCCCTTACACTGGTGTAATTAGTGAAAAGTATTGTGGCCAAGGATAAATGTATCATGGAATATATGTATTTGTCATTTTATGGCCTGAATCTGACATTGCTGCTGTTGTCCTCATCATCTTCATTATTGTCATTACCACCACTACCATCACTGTAATATTCTAATTGTGCTCCCACTGTGAATCAAAGGGAGAATAGAGAAAAATATTGTAGCTAGATGGTGCCCGATGAAGTTCTAGATTGATTGCTAATCTTTTGCCTCATTTGTGCTCTCTCTTAAGTATACTGTAATTTGTATTGGCACAGTAATTACAGCAAAGACTTCAGTAGCCTGCCTCTTTCTCAGGGGTCCTGTTGCACATTGGAGTAGGAATCCTATGAAAGTACAATTGCTATGCATCCCATCTTGTGTTGCTAGACTGCCACTTCTTTTACCATTTTAAAAGGGTGAGTGTCTAAATGTGAAGTGGGGTAGATCTCCAAACTGTTGGGAAGGGACTACTTGAAAATGACCACACTTAACTCGGGTGAAGGATAAATCTATGGGTTTATGTTGGTGCCACAAAAGTGGAAAAATGAAGACAGAAATTATAATTTGATTTAGTATTAGCCCTTGATTTGAGCACCACACCAGACAGAATGATGACTTGGGTCAGCAATGGCACCAATTCTAGTACACGTTGGGCCAAAGTTTAGGTGGAGATGTGTACCTGTCTTGTAATATGCTCAAAGGGGAAAACCTGTGCTCTATGGTTGGTTGGCTATTTACTTTAAAAATTGTACAATGGCCTTCAACAGTGCTTTTAGCATGGTTTTCAAAAACAAAACACCATGAGCCTCCTTACATCGCACAGATCTTGTGATATGCAATATGCCTTACTTACCTGAATCTGACTCCTGTCCTCTGAATATGTTGGCCACAGAGACTGGCAAAATGTTAGGAAGAAAAACCTTAAGAACATGGCCAAACAGCCCAGAAAACCCACAGCAACCATCGGATCCTGGCCGTGAAAGCCTTCGAGAATAATTACCTGAATTACCTTTCATTCTGGATATCATCAAGAACTTTACTGAGAAGTGTTCTGGAAATTTCAGCTCATCCAAAATGCAGGCACGCTACTGCCCAGGATTGGAGAAGCTTCACTGGAAATTTCAGCTCATCCAAAATGCAGGCATGCTACTGCCCAGGCTCCTAATCTATTTCTGTGTATACAGTGGCACCCCGCACGATGACAATAATTGCTCCTAATCTATTTCTGTGTATACAGTGGTGCCCCACACGACGACGATAATTTGTTCCACTGAAATCGCTGTACAGCGAAATCGTCGTCATGCGGGGGAAAAATCCCCATTGGAATGTATTGAAAACCAGTTAATGCTTTCCAATGGGGAAATTACCTCATCATCCAGCGAAGATCCTCCATAGGGAAGCCATTTTCTGAGCGCCAATCAGCTGTTTTTAATGGCTGTCTTCCAAAGCATGGGTTGGAAAACAGCAGGAAGCCATTTTGCGATGTCGTAAAAATTGTCGTATTGTGAACAAACGGTTTGCGAAGCACGGACCTATTCCACCCCCAGCGAAAAAACTCCATTGGAAACATCGTTTTGCGATCGCTATAGGGATCGCAAAAAGTCACTGTCCTGCGTTTTCGTTGTTCTGCAAGGTCATTGTGTAGCAGGCCACAGCGATCGCAAAAAAGTCACTGTCCTGCGGTTTTGTTGTTCTGCAAGGTCGTCGTGTAGCGGGGCAACACTGTAGTTCAAAATGCTACTCATGATGACCTGTACAACTGACAAGACTTGAATCTAGGCTATTTGAAATATCACATTATTCTGCAGGAGCTGCTCTAGGTTTTAAGGAGAGGATCTTCTGCTGTTATGAAGGCATATTTGCTGGGATTGTGAGAAAGGACCTTCTTGGTGGTTGCTTTCAGACTCTGGGACTCCTGCCAAGGGAGACAAAACTATCTGAATATTAGGCAAAAACAAAATAAAAATAAAAAAAAGGACAACAGTGTTGTGGCACCTTAAAGACTAACTGCTATATTTTAATGTGAGCTTTCATAGACAAGTCTGAAACTACCTAAACACAAAACAAAAGGTCTCCCCACTGAACAATGTTCTTCTACAGCTACTAGGAATCAACTGAGGCAAACAACCACAAATATGAGGAAGTACAGCCTTGGCTGTACATTACAGTGGAAGCCAAAATGCCACCCCAGTGCAGTGTAGTTCAGCCTATTCAAAACAGGTAGGCATAGCTATCAAAGCTGTAGATTTATTATTGGATCTCTGGAGTGAACCTCTATTGATACAATCAATTACCTAACAGGCATTGCACCCAGTGACATACAAAGGGAGGCAGCAGCTAACAGTCAACATCTCTAACCATCAGATGTGTACCCACTCTTTGTCTACCATCCTTCCAAGACTTAAATCAAGGAAGTTTTTTTCAGAAAATTTGTAAATCTTCCAGGAACAGCAGAGAACCCCAGAACTAAAATGTGGAAAGAAAGAACTACTCATTACTAAAAACTCCAGGAAATTGTGTTCCCTCCAACCACCAATCACACTGAGAACTGGGTTCCTGGAAGTCACTTTATACTGTAGGCTACAGGGTGGAGTTGGAAGAACCAAAGTGAGCCTAAGAAAATGGTGTGTGTGTGTGTGCACCAACACAGCCCTTTGTGAATGTGGAGAAGAACCTCACATCTATGTCACTGTATTCTATGTTGCACAACAAGCACCATGGAAAACTTTATGTCAGCTGCCTGAAATGTTCTTGACATTGCCCACTATTGGGCTAAAGTTATTTGATGTATTTATTAATTGTACGGTGGTGCTTTTGATACAAAGAAAGAAAGACTGGTGTCATGTTTAAATCTGAAATCCTACGCAGTGCTTCAAGCAAAAAGAAATTCTATGCAAGGCTCAGTGGTCAAATGGTTCTTTAATAACCAGAACGAACTGAGGCATAATGTAAATGCCCACCTGTTCAGGAATCAATGATCTAGAAAACAATTGCTGATCTGTTTACAAGACTATACACAGTGACATGTAGACAATGATTTTTTTTCCTCGCTTACCCATTGTCTTATTTTAAAAAATCCGCAATTCCT